CCAAAAATATAAATTGGGAAAAGAGCTTAAGTAATTTTCAAAATGAATTGCTAATACAATTACTTTTCCTGACATATTTTAGAATAACAGATGTACTATCTCACTAGTATAATTTACATCTCCGTATATATGCGGTTTTTATAAAAAAGCTTTTTCACTTTTTAAAAAACTGGTGGTTATAAAATAAACCTATCCATAGTACTTTGAGCATTTTACAGGAATAGTTAAGGGTAGAGGGATTCAAGATGTTTGCTGAATTTGAATGTTCATTTTAACTACCCATTTTAAGATCTTTGAGGGCAGGCACCACACCCTTCATTTTCTCTCATCCTTAGACAATGGGGTATATAGCTACCATGGACAATGTGAGAATCATACTCATATTAGTTGAATTAAATACTGTTGCTATTATACCAGACCAAATCTCTATTTGCACATGTGTTCTCCATGTAAAGTAGTTCAGGCTGTCTTTGACAGTGAGATTCCTCTTCCTGGGCCTCAGATCCCTTGTTGACACCTGTCTTCTCCAGCATTTTCCTCTCTCTCCTCCCCTTCTCCCATTGAAAGCTTTGGTCAGCAAAAATTTTAATTCATTATTCCTCCCAAAGATAGTTGAAGGGATAGCCTTGACTAACTGAATGGGATATCTTCATACTCTGACAAAAGAAATATGATTTTCAAAAGAATGCAACTGGAAAATGCTTTGGGAATAAGCCCTATCCGGCTCTCATTCCCTTTTGTGAGGGACAGCGTGTGGTGATGGGAAAATCAGAAACTTTGAGACCCTCTACACCTGGAGAGCAATCTCTCTTCTAAATCTTACCAGCCAATGTGAGCCTTGGTTGTCCATCTGTAAAAGGAGAAAGACAACACTCGTCTTTACTTTACAGAAAGTAAATGAGTGCTGCATCATTGTACTTCCATGAAGGAGTCTGCAGGCTGGTTTGGTTTTAGTTGCCCAGTGCTCAATAAATGATATAGTCTGCACTTGCATGAATCCTTATGATTCACCGAAGCATTTTGGTGATGGTGGAATTAAAGGCATCACTTAGACATTAGATGGTCTTAAAAAGGTAGCCACTGACAAGTTATAGGTGTGGGCGGGATTTCCAGAATGGGCTTTTCCGTGTGATGTTCTATTGCCAACAGTGCTGGCAACAGCTACTAGAAGTCTGCGCTGATCCACCTCTCCAGGTTCTATGCTTGTCCCCGGGCAGGGCTTCCCAAAAATGTCTCTTGAATCATAGTGATTGCCCTGACTCTTGTTTATGATATAGAGTCCATTGTTCTTCTCCATGAGAATCTGATTTAATGAGTCCTTGGTGAGCACAGAAATCTGTATTTGTAACAAGTATTTCAGGTGATCCTTAAAATCAAGATAATTTGAGAAACACTGTCCCAGAGCCAAAGCTGCAGCCTGGAATCAGCCCCAGGCAGCCTGAGGTCCAAGGTCAGCAGGTGGGTGCATCACTAGGGAATGTCTGTCATCTCAAGGTTGGGGTGGGAATTTTGAAGGCCGGAGACTGCTGAGTGTCTTGATAACCAATTTACTACAGGCTTGGACATGCAGACATGGAATATGAAACAAGTATATGAAACAGCAATTCTACTGTAGTGTGGCTAAATTCTGAACAAGTCGTTACTGAACTCCTGTTGTTAGCTAGGCACTGTTCCTGGAGAGAGGATGCAGACTCCAGAAAGACAGACTCAGTTTCTGCTGGCACAGAACTTATATTTTAGTTGGGGGAAAAATTTTAGGAATAAGATATTTTCAGACAATAATATGTGCAAGGACAAAAGTAATACAAAATGAGTAACAGGGGAGATGGCTTCTGGTGAGGAGGGAGGGAGAGGCTTCTTTATCCAGGGGATCAGGGAAAATCTCTCAGAGGAAGAAATCCTACAGGGTTTTGTACACGGTGCATTGGAATCGGCTCTTTATTTCATGGGTGTTGGGAGTTGGTGGAGTTTTTAGCATGAAAATGAAGTTCTCAGGGTTGCTTTTTAGGAAGATATCCCAGGGGGCTCTAGCTGGAGAAGACTTTCTTTCAGGGGTCTTGTAGGTAAAGGAAAGGCAAGTGGGGAGACGGCATCTTTAAAGGCAGTTGCTCATCCTGCCTGGTTCCTTGACTGCAGGCCTTGTAAGAAGAACCAATAGGGATAAAGAACGCAGTGACCCTAGCGCCCCCCACCCCGTCCCCAGCCAGACGCTCTGCAGGGCACATTTCCTTCTCCCCTGAGCAGGCCCTTGCTCTCAGCAGACCGCAAGGTTAGCAGCCAGGTGGCGACGCCCTGGACTTGCAGCTCCCACCTGGGCAGAGTGGTCTGGGCAGAGCTCCTCATTCTGACCGGGTCTGCCTGCCTCTGACCCACATCAATCTCTCTGCAGTGTTGGGGGACCCCATCTCTTCCTGCCTCGCCCTCCCTCCTCACTGTCACTTGTACTTGACCCTGCTGGCAGCTGACTCATCCCCTCCAGGGGAATCTTGCCCAAAGCGCTCGGTCTTCAACATGAGCGACAGCTCCTCGCTTCCCAGCACAGGGCAGCCCGTGGAGGGCGCGTTTCTCCCACACTCCCCGTTCCCTCCTCTGCTCTCTTCATCCCCAGCCTCCCTCACCTCACTGCTCATCTCTCAGGGGCAAACCCGGTGGACCCTTCTCAGTCTTTCCCGTGGGACTCCTCTGCAGCTGCTGACGTTGTTGTCTAGTCTCTCTGCCAGACTTCCTCTGTCGCGAGTGCCAAGGTGGTGTCTCCGCTCTGCTGCTTGCCTTCCTTTTAGGTTTGTTATTCTTTATTTTCCCTAGGCCCTTGCCCACTCTTAAAGGCTGATGTTCCTCCGGGGACCTCGTCCACCTTTCCTCTAGGGCTGCAGACTCCCCACCCTTGTGCCTGACACCGGGACCCCTCTCTGTCCCACCCCAACCACACAGCTGCCCTGGGAACGCTCCCGTTCCATCCCCAAGACACCTCAAACTGAATGTTTCTGCTAGAGAAACATTAATTACTAATTAATTTATAATGATTAAAATTACTCCCTCCATCCTAAAGATGTTGGAGACAGGATGTGTGTGTGTGGCGGAGGGGCAGGGGGGAGTGGTTACAGATGAAGACTTTTATAAGGCAAGAAAAGCTAAGTATGTCTTTATGAGAAAAGATGCAGCTACCTGGAAAGATAAGGTCCTGGGAAAGCTGGGGTGGGGGTGGTGGCTGCAAGAATGGCCTAAGGGCACAAGAAGGAGTGAGGAGAGACGCTTTCATGGCTGGATAGATGCAGAGGAGAGATACAGATGGAGAAAGAAAGAAAGAAAGAGATTGATTTTGTCAGCAGCTTAAAAAAATCAAGGATATTATGAGGAGATAATTTTTAAAGGGAACTTTTAGAGTGGCCATATAATATTTAATGTAACTATCCCTCTCTCCCCCCTCCTCCCCTCCCTGCCTCCCTTCCTTCCTTCCTCTCTTTTGTTCTTTCTTTTCTTCCCTCTTTATTTTTTTCTTTCCTGTCATCACTGCACTTTGTTTCTTTATTGCATTTTGTTGTAATGATTCATCTGCATGCTTATGTTGACAAGGACTCTTTCCCTGGCCAACTTTTAGTCAGGTCCCCTGAGCTTTCTTCTCTATTAGACCTCAGCCTTGGCACCTGTCCTATCTTTGGCCTGCCCAGCTCAGTCTTAGCAAAAAATCCTGCTAAGTTATCATCCATCCTTGGTATCTGATCACTCTTGATATCTGAACAAGATACCGAAGTCTTGATATCCACCACCCTTGATATCGAAGTCTCACATTTAGAAAGAATCCTGTTAGGTCAGTTTAGCATGATTCCATGTTTCCTTGATGTGTCTTAGTAATTTTCCATCCATTAACCCCCACCCTGCTCCTTGGCTATAAATTCCCATGCATCCTGTTATGTTGGGAGGTGAACTTGCTCTCTCTCCCCTATTGCAATCAATACCTGTATTGCAATGGTCTTGAGTAAAGTCTTCCTTATTGTTTTAACGAGTGTCAGAATAATTGTTTCTTTTACTGTGTCCTCCATACTGTGATAGACCCTAGAGGACAGGCACGGTACCATTTACTACCTGCCACACCCCGCCCCCACTTCCCTTAGAGAGCCTATGACAGTGTGGAAGTGTTTTAGTGAAAAATTTTAGCCAAAGTTCAGGGGGAACTTACTATTACCCCAGGGGTTATACATAAGTTATTTTTAAGTTAACGATAATAGTTCAGAATTCTAAGAGACACGACAAAACTGTTCGGTAGCTAAATACTTTTAGTTTCTGCCTAAAACAAAATGAAATAATAATCAAATATTACCCACCCAGGCTCCTCATCTCTTGTAAGTGGTTTGAAAGTTACCACAACCACCCCATCGACAAAGGGGATAAAAGCACCACAGACACAGCCCAGCTCTGATTCTCTTTCTTGGGGTGACCTATGCTCCATTTTCAGTTTGAGAAGATTGGTAGTGATGCCATCCAGGGACAACTTTCCCTTTTTTATTTGGGGCAGGGAGAGGCAGGCTTCCTCTATTCTCCAACAGTTAATACAAACTAGTGATATGCAGACATTCTCACATTTTTCAGATGGGAGCTATATCTCTCGCTTCCCTAACTGTGAAGAATCTGACGTTTTCATTCAATCTGGGTCATCTTTTCAGGAAAAGTTAAACATAACTCTTTCCAAATTACTCACAGAGATATACATACTCATGAGGGGAAAAAATGGCATTAAAAGAACACACTGTATTGTGCATAGGTCCAAGGGATACCATGAGCTGGAGTTGAGTTCCCTCCTTTAAACGTATAAGAAATGACACAGATAGAAGGATTGCTACACGCCATTGGAAATACCCACACAAAATATGGGTATGTGGGTATGCGAAGGCCTGTTTGGGTAGGACCTGCCCTTTCAAAGCTTCCTGTGTGACTTGTATTTTGGTCACTGGTTCCGATTTCTCTATTTCCCATTTCTTGATTTACAGAAATGAAGAGGATACTCAGGGCGGAGCTCTGACTCTCGTCTTGCTCTGCTCTGGCCCAGCAGAACCAAGTTACTGAAGTGATGACGGGAACGGGGGAGAACAATGCTTTATTTGTGCTGGATGTTTCTTTGTCTTGTCGCAGGGGAGAGGATGAAAGGACTTAATATTTCAGGTAGGAGTTTTCACTTTTCATGTTAACACTGCGAGTCTTGTGGTCAAAGCTTAAAGTGACAGATAATTGGGTGTATCAGCAGGGTGACATATCAATACACACCCTTTCCTTTCTACTGTTAAAAAGAGAGTAGGAGGAGAAGTATTGCGTGTGAACAGCTTTCGGCTGATACCAAGCATTGATGGGGGACTCAGTGACTGCAGCTGAGTGTTTGGTGAGCACAGCTAAGGAGGAATGAGCAATGGTTCAGCCATCTTTCAAAGGAAACCAGGGTGCTACAGGCCATGCTGAAGTCCACTACTAGGGAATTAGAGCTTGCACTTCATTTCCCTGACAAAGTGGTCACAGTGAAGAAGAAAGACACACAAGGAAGCTTAATCTCTTGCCAAATCAAGTATCATTTGTAAATATGTTAGTTTCATCTTCTAATGTGTTTCTGTGTTGTTTTGTTTATTGTGATTTTCAGATTGTTACACCAGAAAACTCCTTTGGATATATTCTTCAATGAATGATGAAGAGTTTGTCTTATTTTGTGATTTGCCAGAGGCACAGAAATCAAATTTCTATCATAGAAGTCAACACTTACTGAAACAAGGCTCTGAACACCTGCCCTGCGGGGATAGTAAGGACCTGTCTGATGTCCAGTGGTACCTACAACCTCAGAGTGGAGATCCATTAGAGGAAATTCCAGAAAGCTCTCCTCACATCATTCAGGAGAAGAATACCCTTCGTTTTTTGACCCCAGAGATGAATATTGCTGGGTCATATATTTGTAGACCCAGGATTAGGTACGTTCCAATGCATTCCCATCCGAAAACATTCCCAAATCCTTTATTATGTGGATAAAATATCTATGTTCACAAGACCTTATTAATCTCCTAGGAGCCCCCAGGATGTGGCCTGTTGTGTCAAGATGGTCTTAGAAGTTAAGCTCCAGACAAACGCATCTTGTGAGAACCCGACATTACACAAGCAATACCTACTTCTTGGTAGCACTAACTCCATTCATTGCCCCAGTCTCAGCTGCCAAAGTGGTGTACAAAGTCCAGAGGTGACCTGGTACCAGGTGAGAATGAATTCTCTGAAATTAATATGAGAACGTTGTTTTTATGGTAACATCTTTGCAGGTACTTTATAGAAAAGTGTGTTCAGAATCTGAGGTTTAGAGCTTCTCAAAAACCAGCCCCATGCCTGTGCAGGAGAACTGAATTCCCAAAATGGTCTCGTCCCCCTGATGTTCTAATTATTAGAACCACCCTTTTGATCAATAACAGAAACATTTCTAAAATTTAAGTATATTTATTACACATGAGGTAAGACATAAGCTCACATCTGGTAATGCAGAAGAACAGGTTAATTCCTTTTTGATGTCTTTAGAAAGCAGTGGGCACTCAGAAGGGAAAGAGGACACCAAACGAGAAAGTCTTGAAGGGTTTGTGAAAGAAATAGGAGACTGGAATACTTTCCAAAAAGGACACATCTGGGAGGACAGTTAGGACAAGCCCAGGGTGGCCCTGGGTAACAGGTGTTTTGTACAGGTGAGATGGTGGGGAGCAAGTACAGTGCTAAGAGAAAAAGGGAACAAGGGTAAGTTTCAAAATGATGTTGAGTCATTGACCACATGTACATGAACTCTTATAACAGAAACATTTCACATTTCTGTCATGGTTTATAGTTTTTTCAAATACTAGCAGATGTGTAAATGCTGCTTAAATATCTCCTTCGATAGAGGCTTGTGTCTGTTAAACCTTAAGTGGTGGATTCTGGCAAGAGACTCTATACTGCCTCCCTACAATTGCAATATCTGAAGTCCAATACTTTGCCTTAAAAATCATGCACAATTTTACACTCAACTTTATAATGCTGTTTGTAAATATAAAAATATCATTTAAAATTGCCACTGATTAAAGTCAGAAAGGTGGATTATGTTTATCTGGAGGTTTTATGCACCCCAAAATTTGAGAATGAGAGACTCCTGGGGATGCAGTTAGGTATAGTTAGTGTGGTGAGAGAAGACATTTCCTCACTTGATTCTTGACACTCTACGATGACAGGTGGACAGAAATAAGTACACAGGGCGGATGGTGTGGCTGTGGTCTCACATTTGTATTTTAAAACGACAATGAGAGAATGCTGGCCTCCATAAAATCCTAACTCAAGAAACATTAACTTTATAACCTCTAAAATGAGATTTGTAAGAAGAGTGAATACTTCTGTTCATTATTTTCAGTTCTCTCTCAAGAATAACACTTCCCTTGGTTCAAAGTATCTGTAATCAGGGATGACAGATGTGCCGCTGTCTAGGTGGGCTGCTCCTAGGCCAGCAAAGCAAACTTGTCCCAGTTATTTCAGACGAAAATGTGTTTGTTTGACTTTTCAATGATGGTATACCTAAAATGAAAGCTATATTCACTTTTCAGGTGAACAGGAGCCACACAGTACTGTTGTGGGCTCCCTGCATCTACTGCTCTTGTAAGCTAAACCCTAAAGCTGTGTGACAGTCACAAAAGGAAGTTTTGTTTCACTTCTCTGAAACTTTGACTGCGAACATCAGTATATGTTTAATGGTGAACAGGCAGCTGTTCTAAAAGTAGGCAAACAATAGCTGTTGTGAAAATTATCCCTCTTCTGATAGAGATTTGGACAGGTCCTAGTTCAGGTTTTGTTTCGTGAATTACATGTACGTACATACAGAGTAACCTGGATGTCACAGACCTCATGCCAGTAGCATATCACTAAAAGTGATGACATTAGGCAGGAATAACACCAATGTCTCTTTCCTTCATGCTAATCCCACAGTTTCTCGTGTGGTAGGTGGGTCATCCTTAAGATCTTTGAATAGATGAAGCTGACGCTTGCTGAGAGGATGAACATGATATTATTGAATTCAAATGAAACTGTTGACCAGGGATACACCTACAAGATGTACAGAATATCCAGCTGAAATAAATCCAGGGACTTGGAGTCTCTGGAGGGTTCTAAAATATTTTTAGTAGGCACATGAAACAATTTAGGATTGGAGATTCTTTTAGAATTTTCTTCAGCTGTTTTATTTTATTATGTTATTTTTTATTCTTCTAAATAAATAAATCATACTTGTCTACATTTACAGGGTACGGTGTATACAATTATGATGATGATGTGATGTTTTGATATATGTATACAAGGTGGAATGATTAAATCGAACTAGTTAACATAGCCTTCACCTTGCTTAGTTATTTTTTGTGGTGAGACATTTGAAATCTACTCTCTTAGTTATTTGAAATATACAATATATTATTATTAATTGTGGTTACTCTGCTATGAAATAGATTTCAAAACTTATTTCTCCTGTCTGTCTGAGACTTTGTATTGTTTGACCAACATCTCTCCATTCACCTTCTTCTCCCGTCAACCGAGCATCTGGAAATCATTATTCTATTCTTTACTTCTATGAGGTCAACTTTTTCATATTCCGCATATGAGTTGTCTTTCTGTGGCTGGTTTATTTCACTTAGCTTAATGTCTTCCACATTCATTCATGTTGTTGCAAATGAAAGAATTTCCTTCTTTTTAGGGATGACTAGTATTCAATTGTGCATATATACCATATTTTCTTCATCCATTCATCAGTTGATGGACACTTAGGTTGATTTCATGTCTCGGCTACTGTGAATAGTGCTGTAATGAGCATGAGAGTGCAGATATATTTGTTTGAAATATTTATTCTGAAATATTTATTTCAATTCCTTTGGCTATATACCAAAGTATATATTCCAAAGACACATACCAATTCCAAAGGTGGCATTGCTAAATCATATAGTATTTCTATTTTTTAGTTTTCTGAGGTACCTCCATAGAGTTTTCAATGATGTCTTTCCTAATTTACATTCCCAACAACAATGTGCAAGAGTTCTCTCTTCTCCACATCCTTGCCAACATTTATCTTTTTTTTAATTAAAAAAAAATTTAGGGATTATGAGTGTTTTTTGTTATGTGTATCGATTGTATGATGCTGAAGTCAAGGCTTTCGTTGTACCCATCACCAGAATAGTGTGCATTGTAGACAATAGGTAGATTTTTATCCCTCAATCCCCTTCCCCCCTTCCCTCATATTAATTTTCAATGTGCACTACAACCCTTTATGAACATATGTTCCCTCATTAACTCCCAGTTATAAGTGAGAACGTGCGGTATTTACTTTTCTATTCCTAAGATACTTCACTTAGGATAATAGTCTACATTTCCATACAAGTTGCTGCAAAAGACATTATTTCATTCCTTTTTATGGCTGAGTAGTACTCCATGGTGTGTGTGTGTGTGTGTGTGTGTGTGTGTACATACACATCATATTTTCTTTATCCACTTATTAGTTCATGGACACTTAGGTTGATTCCATATATTTGCAACTATGAATTCTGATGTGATAAACATTTGGGTCAACGTGTCTGTTTTATAAAATGACTTCTTTTCCTTTCCACAGTGTATGTTTTTGTCTGTTTTGTCAAAAAGAAGTTGATCATAGCTATATGGTTTTATTTCTGGGTTCTCTATGCTACTCCATTGGTCTATGTGTCTACCTTTATGCCAGTACCATGCTGTTTTGGTTACTATAGCCTTGTAGTAAAATTTGAAGTCAGGTAATGTGATGCCTCCAGATTTGTTCATTTGGCTTAGAATTGCTTTGGCTATTTGGGCTCATTTTTGGGTCAATATGAAGTTTAGGATTATTTTTTATGGATCTGTGAAAAATGATGTTTGTATTTTGATGGAAATTGCATTGAATCTGTAAATCACTTTGGGCAGTACGGACATTTTAACAATGTTGATTTTTCTTTTCTTTTCCTTTCTTTTCTTTTCTTTTCTTTTCTTTTCTTTTCTTTTCTTTTCTTTTCGGACAGAGTCTCCTTCTGTTGCCTGGGCTAGAGTGCCGTGCCATCAACTTAGCTCACAGCAACCTCAAACTCCTGGGCTTAAGCAATCCTTCTGCCTCAGCCTCCCAAGTAGCTGGGACTACAGGCATGTGCCACCATGCCCGGCTAATTTTTTCTATATATTTTTAGTTGTCCAGCTAATTTCTTTCTATTTTTGGTAGAGACGGGGTCTCGCTCTTGCTCAGGCTGGTCTTAAACTCCTGGCTTCGAGCGATCTTCCCGCCTCGGGCTTCTAGAGTGCTAGTATTATAGGCGTGAGCCACCATGTCTGGCCCAATGTTGATTTTTCTAATCCATGAACATGAGATGTTTTTCCATTTGTTTGTGTCATCTATGATTTCTTTCATCAGTGTTTTCTAGTTATCCTTGTAGAGATATTTCACCTCGTTGGATAAGTATACTCCTAGGTATTTTGTTTAATTTGCAACTATTACAAATTGTATTGAGTTCTTAATTTGACTCTCAGCTTGACTCTTACTAGTATGTAGAAATGCTATTGATTTGTGTACATTAATTTTGTAACCTGAGAATTTATTGAATTTATTTAGCAATTCTAAGAGTCTTTTGGTGGAGTCTTTAGAGTTTTCTAGATAAAAGTTCCTATCATTGGCAAACAAGGATAATTAGACCTCCTCTTTCCTGATTTGGATACCTGTTTTTTCTTTCTCTTGTCTGATTGCTCTGGCTAGAGTGTCTAGTACTATGTTGAATAGAAGTGGTGATAGTGGACATCCTTGTCTTTTTCCAGTTCTTAAAGGAAATGCTTTCAACTTTTCCCCATTCAGTATGGTGTTGGCTGTGGGGTTTGCTATATATGGGTTTTATTGTTTTGAGGTATGCTCCTTCTAGGCCTAGTTTGTTGAGAGTTTTTATTATAAAGGAGTCCTGGATTTTATTGAATGCTTTTTTCTTCTTTCCTTTAATGAAAACTGCTAAGCAAGTGCTTTTTCTGCATCTATTGAGATGATCATTTGGTTTTTGTTTTAAATTCTGTTTATGTGCTAAATTACATTTATTGATTTGCATATATTGAACCATCCCTTGCATCACTGGAATGAAGTTGATCATGGTGAATTATCATTTTCACGTGTGGTTGGATTCAGTTTGCTAGTATTTTGTTGAGGATTTTTGCATATATGTTCATGAGGGATAT